GTGTGTGTGTGTGTGTGTGTGTGTGTGTGTGTGTGTGTGTGTGTTGTAAAGCGCTTTGAGCATCCTGGTTGGATAGAAATGTGCTATATAAGTACAGACCATTACATTTTGTTTGTCATAGTGTTCGTTGAAAATGAATTAAGTTATCAAGTTTAATGTGAATAATCATAACATTGTGAACACTAATCAATGGTGTTTGCAACTTTTAAATATATTTTATGTTTCAAAAAGACAAAAAAATAAAAAAACTCTAGTGTATAACAGTCAGCATGAAGCACCAAAGTTGGCAACTACCTAATGAACATAGGAGGTATATAAAGAGTTTGCATAAATGTTAATAGTACAAGGTTAGCACTACCATGTTTGGACATTAAACTTCGTATTTCAGAGCAAAATAAACTCTTCTGAGATAAAAATGAAAAAATATATATATATAAACTTAACAAAAATACAGTATGCTGTTATGCAATGTTCTAACTGTTCAGACATAAACAATTTGCCATTTTACTGAAATAAATTAATTCTGTTTACCACTGATTGTTAATGACCACACATACCTTTTTATTTCTAGGAAAACTGGAATATGTTTTGATTACTACTTATTTTGCCTAATCATCTATTTTTATGATTAAACTGTGATTTAGTCGAGGTACATCTGATTTGAGTGACATGTTATAGTTGACTTAAATAGGATGTGCTCTCTTGGATACTTACTTAATACACGCCCCAATTACACTGACAACCCAGATATTTTATATTGACAGAAAGTGTGAGTGAAAACCCACCCCTAAGAGTAATGTTTTGAAGTGGGCGGGCGCGGGCCAGATTCTGAAGATGCTGTTTAAAACAAGATCATCAGCATGCAATGGAGTAAACTGAAGGCACTTTTCTTTTCATTACTATTGTCCAAAACATCCAGATTGAAGAAATGAGTGGATTGCAGCTAACTACTCCAAAATATGCAGTCAACGTTCCATATCAGGTCAATCAAAGTTCCAGTGTATATATTACATATCACTATATCTACAGTATGTAGGTATTTTTATGAGTTCACTTCATCGTTATACAACAACCTCTGGTTAAAGAGTAAGACTGGGACTGGAAAAATAAAACAAAATTAAATTAAATTAAATTAAATTAAATTAAATAAATGGGGTAATGCATGGTAATAGCACAATGTGATAGTATCTGTATCATGATCCCCTATCATTTCACCTTTCTTTATTCATGTTAATGTTATGTGTGTTTGTGTATTATTGTTAGCCTGGCCCTTGCCTTCCTATGCAGTTCCGCTCAATTCTAGTTTCCCTTCACTGCTCCGTCTGGGATTTCTCCCATAGACAAGGATTTCTTCAGGAGAATTTTCATCCGGGCCAACCAGAGAACAGAACGTTGATTTTCTGCGCAGTGTCTGCTTGTAGTTTATTTTACCTGGGCCAATCAGCAAACAGAAGGCGGAGTTTTGAACAACGTCAATTTGCTGCGCAGTTTCTGCTAGTTAGTTTAGCATACAGCAGTGGAGGAAGTGAATAAAGCCAGTCCATGTTGATAAGGCTTCTAAATTAAATTAAATTTGTCTGACAACGTAGCAGCTCTCATTTACAGTCGTCTCGTTCAGCTCGGTACTTCTCTCCTCTCAGTAGGGTTGTTTACAGCAGACACAGTTTCTGGTTAGCTTCTTTGCTTAGCCTCCTTCCCAGTGTAGCTGGCACACATATGTCGCGGCAAACCGATCCAATCATTTTAAACTTCAGCAGAGGCCACGCCTCCTGCAAGAATCGCTTCTCTATAGCCGAGAGTCCAGACCCTTGTACGAAGCAAAGCGAAGGACAAGGGTTTGGTTTTAACCAGGCTACATTATTGTGTGAAATATCGATTTTTATGGTGCAACTAAAGTCTAAGTAAGTATGTAAGTAAGTAAGTAAGTAAAGTTTTATTTAAATAGCGCCTTTCACAGAAATAAATTCACAAGGTGCTGTACATTCAGGGAAGTGGGGAGGGGGAAGTTTAGATAGGTCATGCAGCAAACACAGTTGTGCTTCCTTTAGACAAACAGAAAAACAGAAAAACTAAAAGCCACACAAGGGAAAAATGAGGAAAAAGGCAAAAACATCATATTATATCAACACTGTGACACACTATGGTGTTTATGAAAAATCCTCTGCATTGAGCAAGTCTAATAACTTTGTGATACTGCAGCCTTTAGCAACTTTCTGCTAAGCAACAAAAAATAAATATGGTTCCTAGCCCACAATTGAGACGTTGGCATCATAGTAAAAGCCTTGCATCACTGTCTAGTCCTTGGCTGGTTTGATAGTATTACACAAATACTCTCTTTGCACTGCGAGGCAGGCCCTGTTTTGTAGGTTTGGTATCTGAAAACATGCGATCTATAAAGGTGGTGCAAATAACTTTATGAGGGGGGGTGACTTAGTGTGAAAATCATCTACTAGCAAATGTTTGACGAGCATTAGTTGTTTGATTGCTAATACAG